TCCCCCTGGTGGTCAGTGCTCATCATAGCGAGCATTTGTTCTACTGTTAGGTTGATTTGCATATTAGGGTTTTATTATATAGGATGATAAATTTTTTTACGTTTAATCTTTATTGTTCAGGTTATTACAGTTGTTCCTCTTTTTCCCCCTATAGATACCCTCCATCTGGTTCCCACCCCATCCTCTGCCCTTATCCCCTCCCCACTGTCCTTATCCATAAGTGTACGATTTTTGTCCAGTCTCTTCCTGCACCCCCCACACCCTCTTACCCCCAAGAATTGTCAGTCCCTCCCTTTCTATGTACCCGATTCCATTATATTCACCAGTTTATTCTGTTCATTAGATTTTTTATTCACTTGATTTTTAGATTCACTTCTTGATAGATATGTATTTGTTCATAATTTTTATCTTTACCCTTTTCTTCTTCTTCCTCTTACTAAAGAATACCCCTGAGCATTTCATAGAATATTGGTTTGGCAGTGATGAACTCCTTTAGCTTTTTCTGATCTGTGAAGCTCTTTATCTGACCTTCAATTCTGAATGATAGCTTTTCTGGGTAGAGTAATCTTGGTTGTAGGTTCTTGCTATTCATCACTTTGAATATTTCTTGCCACTCCCTTCTGGCCTGCATAGTTTCTGTTGAGAAATCAACTGACAATCGTATGGGTGCTCCCTTGTAGGTAACTAACTGCTTTTCTCTTGCTGCTTTTAATATTCTCTGTCTTTTGCTCTTGGCATTTTAATTATGATGTGTCTTGGTGTGGTCCTCTTTGGATTCCTTTTGTTTGAGGTTCTCTATGCTTCCTGGACTTGTCAGTCTATTTCTTTTAACAGGTAGGGGAAGTTTTCTGTCATTATTTCTTTAAATATGTTTTCATTATCTTGATCTATCTCTTCTTCTGCCACCCCCATAATTTGGATGTTGGTACACTTGAAGTTGTCCTATAGACTCCTTACATTATCTTCATATTTTTGGATTCTTTTTTTCTTTTTGCTTTTCCAGTTGGGTGTTTTTTGCTTCATCATGTTTCATATATTTGACTTGATTCTTGCAATCCTCTAGTCTGCTGTTGGGTCTCTTTGTGTTATTCTTTATTTCAGTCAGTGTATGCTTAATTTCTAGTTGGTCCTTTTTATATCGCCGAGGGTCTCACTAAATTTACCGGCGGTTTCTAGAAGATTCTTGAATAACCTTATAACCATGGTTTTCAACTCTAGATCCAGTAGTTTGCTTTCCTCCATTTCTGTCATTTGTGACCTGTTTTTTTGTCTCCGCATTTTGGCCACTTCCCTGTGTTGATAGAGTGGCTTTGTGTGCTAGGTGTCCTACAGGGCCCAGTGGCTCAGCCTCCCTAATTGCCTGAGGTGAACACTCTTGGTGTATCCCTTTCGTGGCTGTATGCACAGTCTTATTGTAGTTAAGCTTTGAGTGTTGTTGGTATCTCTGGGAGGAATTTACCTCCAGGCCAATTGGCTGTCTGGATCAGTTGTGTCTATATGGGAGTACTTCTGTTCTGGGGCCACCCTTATAGGGCAAGACTTGCTTCAGTGGGGCTTTGGTGCTCACTGAGTCTGCCCCCTGAGTGTGTCCCTTAAGGATCTGAGGAGTTATAATCTGGATGTTCCCAGTTTGATCACAGGGTACACTGGCTCTTGGATCTCCAAGGAGGTACAAAGTCATACACTGCCTGAGGCTCCCCAGCAAGAGCTATGGAGAGATCTGCAGATTCCTCTTCTTTGTTTAGGTTTTGGAGGTGCCCAGATGAGGTCCAGCTGTGAAGCAATGCAAGCTTCTGTGGAGCGTTGGGCCTTCTTTTGGAAGTTGTTGGCCTCTGACCCAACTGCAGTTTGTTAGGTAATTTTAAGTTGCAAAGGACCAGGCCATGCATATGCAATAGCCTCTGTGCATAGCTGGGGTGGGGTTGTAAATTGCTGGGGAGGGTTCTCAGGGAATCAACAGGGTGGAGCAGACAGCCCTGCCTTAAGAGTCCTCTGGGTTTCAGTATCCCATGGTAATCACAGCAAGCACCACTGAGGGAATGCCTCCCTTATGTTCTGGCCTGATTCCAGACAGTCTAGTTTCCCCCCAGATGAGTCTGGGTCTCCAGATTCTCACCAAGAACTGGAGTTCAGAGCAGTGGAGAGCTTGTGTCTCCCTTCCTATTGAAAAAGAAAATGTGTCCTTAGTTGTCAGCCCCTTTCTGCACGTGTGCCTCCATACCTCCGCACTTTACTTCTGCACCTCCTCTGAGTTTTAGTGTGTTTTTCTCTTTCCTTTTAGTTGTAGAATTTCCACTCAACCAGCTTTCCTGTGGTTCTGGATGGTGTTCATTTTGTCTTTTAGTTGTAGTTTTGAAGTGGTTGTGCAAGGAAGCAAGTTCAGGTGTTTACCTATGCCATCATGTTGGTTTCTCCTTTGGATGATAAGTTCTTGATAAATGCATCATCCTCAGTGAACCTCATGGACATTATGCTGAGTGAAAAGCCTATCTCAAAAGGTTACATACTATTATTTCATGTATATAATATTCTCAAAATCAGTTAGCTATAGAGATTATCAACAGATTGATGATTCTTGGAGGACAGGGATTGGGTTGAGGCAAGGTGAAATGGGAGTGAATATAAAAGGGTAGTACAAAGGAGTTATTCTGTGGTGATGGGATAGTTCTGCATCTTGAGTGTGGACATAGATCTGAACATGAGATAACTTTGCATAGCACATCATTCAAAGCACACACACATAATATGAATGCACATTTAAAAATGGGAAAACTGAGTTCTATAATTAACACTAAGGTATCTATATAGTAAGGCTGTGAGTTATGAGAATTGTCTCCTAGTTGTAATTACCACTTCATTTCTCACTCAAGTATATTGAAATGCAAGTGCAGGGATGTGGCTATATTATATACATGTTAAACATTCTTCATGTTTAACATGTATATAATATGTTATATAGTATTATATCTGAGTCTGTTCAAATTTATCCAAATTACTTTTACCATATTTTACAACTATAGCTATTTGAGAGCATCCATTTTAGGGTACAAAAGTAGTAAAATGTTATGGTCTCTACCCTATATGCTGTTAATATGGCTATGGTATAATAGAATTTCAAGTCTGACTTGGATTTTAATTCCAGTTCTGCTACTTACCAGATATCTCAATTGTAGGCATAATATCCATTTCATAGAATTGTTTTCATTCAGCTCTTATTCAACAATTTTTAAACAGTGCCTAGCACGATATCCAATTCACATAGCTGTTGTTCACAAAATGTTTGTTTTGCCACAAAATGTCACTGAGGTTGAGATGGTAGTATATTCATGCACCTATAGACAAAGTGAATCATAAATATATACTAAAAATGATAAATATTGAGGTATAATCTACAAAAAAGTGGAGTTGGAAAATAGTAAGTTCCAAGTGGGCTGTGGTTGTTAGAGAAGGCATCATGATCAGAATGGGATTCAAAGTAGGCTTTGAAGAATGGAGAGTTCTGGAGAGGTAAATCAAGTGGGAGACCATTATAAGCAAAATCAAGAACCTGTGGTTATATGGTTATATGGAAATCACAATTGAGAAGTTACCTGCTATTCTATTAGATTATATTTTGGAAATTAGAAATCTTGAAAGCTTTAAGCAATTTATCCCATAGTGTTACCTTCTTAAAAGTACCCCAATATCTGCGGTGTATTTTAATGATATTGCCTTGTTGCTAAGACACTTGTGTACCTTAGTTTGCAATTTTGATTTACATAGCCCCTGACTGTTGTAGGTAAATTCAGGCTTGTTGATAATAAATTCTTCATGTTTAACAAAAATGAAAGACATAATAATAAAACATTAACAAGACATGGGTTTTCATTGTTTTGTTAACCCTTATACAATTGTTTTCACATGTCATTAATGTATATGAATTTAATTTCTTCAAATAAAACTTTGGCAGTCTAACCAACTTTATGTTTCTAAATGAAAGTTGTTGCTTTTGATACTATAACTGTGCATAGAAATGTGAATGATTGAATGTTTGCCCTTAATATATGAAAGCATTGCCCTAACTGGTTTGGCTCAGTGGATAGAGCGTTGGCCTGTGGACTCAAGGGTCCCAGGTTTGATTCCGGTCAAGGGCATGTACCTTGGTTGTGGGCATATCTCCAGTAGGAGGTGTGCAGGAGGCAGCTGATCGATGTTTCTCTTTCATCGATGTTTCTAACTATCCCTCTCTCTTCCTCTCTGTAAAAACTCAATAAAATGTATATTTTTAAAAATATATGAAAGCATTATATTCCTAATTTTCATATATTGTGGGGTATTCTCATGGAGAAATAGGATAGTTTTGAAAGTTAGTTTGTTATTTAGTTGATTTTATTTTGTATATGTTCGAGCAAAGGAATCTTTATGAGGCAAATAGGTCTATCATTGTTATTTGGTCTTCCAATAGTGAATCAGCCATACATAATAGTAATTATTTGCTTTTGAAATCCTCTTTGCTGTATAATTTCAGTTTTACCATTATTTTGGGGAATGAATAAATTTATATGCATGTATTAAGTACCTTTTATATATAAAGCATTGTATTCAACATGGGTAGGGCAGAAAGAGAAATATGATACAGACCATCAAGAATATCGTAGGAAAGAAAAATATATACACAGATAACTACAAGGCAATTTGCCATAAGTGCCATGAGCTCTGTAGGATATCAGATAATGGAGAGAACTTTTTGAGTGAATGATCAGGGATGATTTTATGATCAGGCAGGAGCATTTGAATAATGCACTTATTATCCTATCTAACAAAATAGTAATATGTGAATATAGGCCTAAACCTATGTTTTAACTGTAAAATTAGGGGGTCATCTTATATGCCGTAAAATACGGTACTTGAAATGGTTTAAAATATAAACGTTCCCATAAATATTAATTTAAAGTTAGTCATTATACTTTTATAAATACATATTTTCATATGATGGGTAATTGCTGCTTTTATGTTTTTAGGCCATGAATATTGTGGTTCCTTTCATGTTTAAATATGCTGTAGACAACCTCAACCAGATGTCGGGACACATGCTGAACATGAGTGATGCACCAAATACAGTTGCAACCATGGCAACGGCAGTTCTGATTGGCTGTATGTGTGATTCTTTGATCTGTCTACAGGTGTTGACTTTCTTCAAGATGGTTTCATTATATTTGGACAGATGACCTTTTCATTACAAACACAATTTAGCATGTTTTATATTGTTTTATGTGAGATTTTTTTTAATATGTGGTTTTAAAAATTATTTGTATCATATTTTCCAAAAATTCTGTTAATAATAGTCTCATTCTTCAAGTTTTAGAAAACAATAATATGAAACGAGACATTAAAATTATAGCAACCACTTCTAATACGTTTCTTATAAGATACCTTTAAAGAGTGAGGCAAGTTAGTTTCTTCTTTTTTGAACAAATATATTTTTATTGATTTCAGACAGGAAGGGAGAGGGAGGGAGAGATAGAAACATCAATGATGAGAGGGAATCATTGATTGGCTGCCTCCTGCACACCTCCCACTGGGGATCGAGCCTGCAACCTGGGCATATGCCCTGACTGGGAATCAAGCCGGTGACCTCTTGGTTCCGAGGTTGACATTCAACTGCTGAGCTACACCCGGCTGGGCAGTTTCTTGATGTTTTTATTAGCTGTTAAATAGGAAATAGCTAAATAATGATTAATTGTTGTGCATTAATGCTTTTGCTTTATTAAATTATATCCAATAGCCATGACACAAATCTACAATTTGGAAAGCAGAGAATATGATGCTTTGTGTCCCCATGCATTTAAAAGGACACTTTATGAGACTTAGGAGGCTTGAATGGGGCCATGCTTTAGTTCAGGGTAGGGAACCTTTTTTCTGCCAAGGGCCATTTGGATATTTATAACATCATTTGGAAGCCATACAAAATTATCAACTTAAAAATTCACCTGCTATATTTGGTCAAACATTTAGTTAACTCACCCCTAATGCCTTGGGAGGACCAGACTGAATGATTTTTGGGGGCCTATTAGTTCATGAAGTTGATTTTTCAGTATCTAAATTTCATCATTTGTTATTTGGGGAAATTTAATCAGATCAAAAAAGCTCGACAGATATTTATCCACAATAAGGCCATATGGGCTGTTGTGTATTAAAAATACCTAGTTGGAGAAAAATATTTCAACACCTGGGCATATAGGGAGAATAACATTGAAAGGGATCCATGTTGGTGAAAAGATTGATACTCACTAAACTAGATGCTTTTTTGATTTCTTTTAGTGTTAGTATTCATTGATGTATTCATTCATTGTGTGCCTTTATCATTTTTACATTCCTATGATTCTAATGTTTTTATGCCCCATTTTTTCTTTTGACTGTATTGTTAGATGGTGTATCGAGAGCCGGAGCTGCCTTTTTTAATGAAGTTCGTAATGCAGTATTTGGCAAGGTAGCCCAAAATTCAATACGAAGAATCGCCAAAAATGTATTTCTCCATCTTCACAACCTGGATCTGGCTTTCCACCTCAGCAGACAGACAGGAGCTTTATCGAAGGCTATCGACAGAGGGACAAGGGGTATCAGTTTTGTTCTGAGTGCTTTAGTATTTAATCTTCTTCCCATTATGTTTGAGGTCACTCTTGTCAGTGGTGTTTTGGTAAGTAAAACAGTTCTCATAACAAGCTTTTACATTCTCATTAGTAGCTATTTAGTACTTGAAGCTGTTTTGGTACTGTGTGTCCATGGTTTGAAAGCACAATACCATGGTGCTAGAGGATTATGCAGTATATTAAATTATTTACTACAAGCTGCAAGGGATTGTCCAAAATCTTTATCATGTTGTTATTTTTTAATTTGATTTCAGAGAGGAAGGGAAGGGGAGAGAGAGATAAAAACATCAATGATGAGAGAGAATCATTGAATTGGCTGCATTCTACACACCCCCTACTGGGGATTAAGCCCACAACTCAGGCATGTGTCCTGACTGGGAACCGAACCAAACCCTCCTGCTTAATAAGTTGACACTCAACTCCTGAGCCATCCAGCTGGGCTTATGTTGTTATTTTAAAGAGCCATTCAATTCTACACATTGATCAATAATTTAGCTGGTGTTTGCGATTTTTGTTAGCAGAGATTTTTGTAGAGAACTTTAGGCTGGTATGCTTAGATTATCTTGGTTTCTATTCACCATTCGTGACATTTTAGACAATTTCATATTTTTAAAACAAAATGTATATACAGTATATATTATTCCTTTCATGGATCTTTGCACTATTATTATCAACATTTGACAGTAGCATCAGTGTGGCCGGTGCAGTTTGGCTTTCTTCCCTTGTTACCTAACGTAGATTTTCTAAGGTATTTTCTTTGTTCTCCAAAAAATTATTCATTTGTTCGCCAACATTTTTTAAAAAATCTTTTGACTAACATTTGTTATTGTATATTATAAACTATTTGACAAGAACAGTGACTATTTCTCTTTTCTTCTTTTGCCTTCTTCAGTATTACAAATGTGGTGCCCAGTTTGCACTGGTGACTCTTGGGACACTTGGTGCATACACAGCATTCACAGTTGCAATCACCCGGTGGAGGTAAGGTATTCCCCAGAGGCCAGTCAAGGTTCAGAAATTAATTATGCTTCTTTAACAAACATTTCATGCCTATGCAAATCTTTGTCTTACAGAACTAGATTTAGAATAGAAATGAACAAAGCTGATAATGATGCCGGTAATGCTGCCATAGACTCGCTGCTGAATTATGAAACTGTGAAGGTACTATGTTCAATTATACTTTTCTTTGGTCTTTAAACTGCACTAAGATTTGTTTTGCCATTTAATTTAATATTTACTATAACTTAGAGCTTCAGATTAAGATAGTATTTTTAGGTGTGATAGAATAATAGTACTTTATTATTTTTCTTTTATTTAAAAATTGTCCTTTATTTCTACCTCAATTTTTTGTGTGACACTAACAGAAAGTGATATGAGTATGGTTAGCATTTTGATTCAGAATGAACACTAAGCTAATCAATTTAGCATGTAAGTTCTTGGTTCTCTATCTTTCAGAGTGCCTAGCTAAAAATTACAACATGATAAAGATTTTGGACAGTCCCTTGAAGCTTGTAGTAAATAATTTAATATACTGCATAATCCTCTAGCACCTTCTTTTTGCTTATTTGTTAATTTTTCCATTTAATAATTATTATTGAATGCCTCTTATGTGCAAAGCACTAAGTTTTGTGTAAAAAAATGCTTCATATTTAATCCTTACCCTTCCAGAATTTGTTAATCTACTGAGACAGTTAAAGTAATTATGCCGATGACTATACAAGAAGGCATATTGCAGTAGGGACAGTGACAACTGTCAACTCAAAGTTCCAGGAGATATGGGGAAGGCTTGTGAATGAAGTGCCCTTGATAGTTTTTTTTAAGATATGGGTTTGTCCGACTGGCGTGGCTCATGGTTGAGGGTTGACCTATGAACCAGGAGGTCACTGTTCGATTCCCGGTCAGGGCACATGCCTGGGTTGTGGGCTGGATCCCCAATGTGGGGCATGCAGGAGGTAGCCAATCAGTGATTTTTTCTCATCTTTATGTTTCCATCTCTTTCTCCTTTCTTCCTTTCCCACCTCTCTGAAATCACTAAAAATATAGATATTTAAAAGTAAATAAATTAAATTTTTCTGTACATGAAAGTCTGATTAAAAAAGATAATCACTTTAAGAGAATAAATTCTAATTATATGTAGTTACTATTTTTATATATTTTGTAGTATTTTAATAATGAAAACTATGAAGCACAAAGATATGATGGATTTTTGAAGACATATGAGACTGCTTCGTTGAAAAGTACCTCTACTCTGGCTATGCTGAACTTTGGTCAAAGTGCTATTTTCAGTGTTGGTTTAACAGCTATAATGGTGCTTGCCAGTCAGGGAATTGTGGCAGGTAATGGATCTGTGGTTTTAATATTCATGGATATTTTACTTAACCTTACTTAACCTTTATAAATAAAGATTAATGAAATTAATTTGTGTATTAATCTTCATTATAAAGCATATTCAATTTTGTGCTTTAATATCCTTGGAGTATTTTCCTTTTTGTCTCAAAATGTGTTTTCTTGATTGTATAGTAATATGCTTTTTTTCCCCTTCATTTGGTTTAGCACTACAATTTTAGCACTAGCTCTCTCATTGGTTGGAATTACTGTATATATATTTTTTGGGCCTATAATCTGTTTGAGGAGTAACTTTTTTTTAGTATCTAAAGTTTCTAATTTCTCTTATTGACCTGAAAATCAATGTAACTAGTGTTTAGTCCAAAGGACTAAAACTCAAGCAATCTTTTCTTTAGAATTACTAGTAACCTTTTAACCTTTTTATTAGTTTTTTATTTGAAAAATATTTCAAAAATTAATAATGTCTTTGCCTCATTTTTGTTACCTACCTGTTCAAGTTAGGATTCATTTATTCACTGTGACCTTAATACATGGTTTATCATTTTTAATCATGATGTACATTTGCTCCAATTTTTAAATACATACTCTTTAAAATTCCTTTTTATATATATATATATTACAAAGAAACTAGCTTAAGGAGAGGTTTTCAGCCTTTGGTTTTTATTCTCACTTAAGCCATATTTTTTTGTGTATAATGTATAGTGTATGAATGGACTTTTCCTATTCTACTTAGCATATATCAAGTGCCCTGTATTCCTAAATTATGGACTAAAGGGTAAAGGGGGTCAAATATATGGTGACGGAAGATTTGACTTTGGGCATTGGGCACACAGAGCAATATATAATATATAGATGGTATGTCATAGAAATTTACACTTGAAACCTATATATTAACTAATGTCACCCCAATAAATTTAATATTATAAATGTTTTGAAATGTAAGTAGGCCTAAGAGTTGTTGATTTTGTACATTTTTTTTATTTTGTACATTTTGAACTGTATCCCAGAGTAATAGACTTTCTCTACTTTAAATTGGAACAGTTAATAACATCTGTAATACCTTTTTTTCTTCTTCTGCCAATTGCATATTAAGGTACCCTTACCGTTGGAGATCTAGTAATGGTGAATGGACTGCTTTTTCAGCTTTCATTACCCCTGAACTTTCTGGGAACTGTATATAGAGAAACTAGACAAGCACTCATAGATATGAATACCTTGTTTACATTACTCAAGGTAGACACCCGAATTAAAGTAAGTAATTTATTTAGTATCTTTTCAAAAGCATGTGAGCTTTGTCCCATTAATAGTATTATTTTAAGGGAATATTCTTACATGACCATGTTAGGAAACCAATTTTGTTTTTGCAGAAATTGAGATTATCATGTCTATTAAGAAATTGTTACGTTTTTACTTCTATCTTTAGAAATCTTACATTGTTGACAAAGAATATTATGCCTAGAAGCTAAATATTGTTAACTGGAATTATTTGTACTTACACTTGACTTATTTTTTATAATAATGATACACGATGTGTAATTACCTCTTCTTACATCCTCGGCTTCCTTACTCATCCTCCTATCCAGCATTCCTTTACCTCCCTCCTAAAATACTGAAAAAATTAAAGCATCCAGGATTTTTTACCTTAGCATTGAAAAGTGAAAAGCAGGTTTCACTTTTACAAGTACAGGTCTAACTGTACTTATAAACTACCTTCTTCCCATTATTTTCCTTTTTATCTTTGTGAATTAGAAAATTATCTGCATAATTGTACTCTAGGAAGTATGTAAACTGGCTTTTTTTGTCTCTTCTCTACTAGGACAAAGTGATGGCATCTCCCCTTCAGATCACACCACAGACAGCTTCGGTGGCCTTTGAGAATGTGCATTTTGAATACATTGAGGGGCAGAAAGTTCTTAGTGGAGTATCTTTTGAAGTCCCTGCAGGAAAGAAAGTGGCCATTGTAGGAGGTAGTGGGTCAGGGTGGGTAATTTAGTTATTTATAAAATTATGCATCATTAATTAATGATTCCCAATGTAATATAATAGTTTTGCTTTATCTAAATAGAATGAATACTGTTGTAAAACATGGATTCCCTAATGTCATTAGGAGCTAAATAACTTTTCCTTATATCCAATTTCAGGAAATCCACAATAGTGAGGCTGTTGTTTCGCTTCTATGAGCCTCAACAGGGTAACATTTACCTTGCTGGTCAAAATATACAAGATGTGAGTCTGGAAAGCCTTCGGAGAGCAGTGGGCGTAGTGCCTCAGGTATTTAAATGAAAGAAAGAAAAATACTTGGGGGAAGATTTACTGGGTTGATGGCTCTTTTACCAGAATAATTTGAATCCAAGAGTCAATATGTTCTAATTAGGAAACATTAAGCCCTGTAGGTCAAACTCTGTTACCAAAAAGACTGAAAAATAGTGAGTGGAATGTCTGCACAATGGAAAGATTTTTTTTTTTTAATCCTTAGAAAGACAGAGTAATATAGAGGAAAGAGCCAACACTGGTATCGAACAGAACCTGATTCTAACTCCAGTTCTAACCCTTATAAATTCCGTGGTTTTGGCCCTCAGTTTCCTCATCTATAAAACAAGATACTATTTCTCTTATAGGATAGAATTATAGAGATAACATGTGTAAAGCACAACGTTCATTATGCAATTGTTCAGTAAGTGAAAACTATTATTGTAATTTTGAATAGTTTTAGATATAGTAAATTTATAGAAATTACAAAGTAGTTTGGCTGCCAAGGTCAAGTTTGTATGCCATGTTCACCACTGTCCCTTCAGTACAAGCACAGTTCCTGACCCATAGTAAGCATTTAACAAGTATTTGCTGAATGACTTTGCGGTGAAGGGGTGGAGGGGTGGAAGGGACACGGAAAGCCAAAGTAAGAGTCTAGAAGACAAGAAGGAGATAGCTTTTATAGGACGTGAATTTTTCTTATGCTGAAAGCCAATAGAGACCTGGGAATAAGTTGCAGCCTAAAATCAGAATCAGATTCCCTGGGAAAACTATAGAAAAGGAATCAGACAGGGATGTGTAACTTATAAAAGGACCCCAAGTGATCTGACACATTCCATTCTGCTTTGTCCTCCCTTTCACTGAGAATCCCAAATGTTAGTGTGTATGCATCACCTAGGGAGATTATTGAAATGCCAGCACTCTCTCTCACAAACCTTGGTTCTCATTTAATGCAATATGGCGCTGAGAAACCTGACCACAGAAATCTAGGTCTGTGGTCAGCAAAATGCGGCTCGTGAGCCACATACGGCTCTTGTCCCCTTGAGTATGGCTCTTTTTGAAGAAGTGGCATTAGAAGAAGTTTAAACTTAAAAAATTTGGCTCTCAAAAGAAATTTCAGCCGAAACCGGTTTGGCGCAGTGGATAGAGTGTCGGCCTGCGGACTAGAAGGTCCCGAGTTCGATTCCGGTCAAGGGCATGTACCTTGGTTGCGGGCGCATCCCCAGGAGAGGGTGTGCAAGAGGCAGCTGATCAATGATTCTCTCTCATCGATGTTTCTAACTATCTTCCTCTCTGTAAAAAAAAAAAAAAAGAAAGAAAGAAATTTCAATCATTGTACTGTTGATATTTTGCTCTGTTGAATAATGAGTTTGCCGACCACTGACCTAGGTCATTCTGATACAGATATTCATAAACTATATGTTGGAAAACACTGACCTAAACCGTATGTCAAATAAACTGAATTATGGGCTCTGCCTACTTAGGGCTCATTGTCCTCATCCATATAACTATGTATAACTAGATTCCAGCCATTCTCTTGGAAAATAAAACATTTTGTTCATTAACCTGTTAACCAGGGAGTTCCCTTTTTAATTACGCAACGTACAACGGGCGCATACTCTTTCACTAGGACGTGTCAATATGTCAGGCCCAGTGGACGTAATTTTATATTATTATTTTTTTATTTATACTTAATTAAAATAAATGAAATATATATTTTTTCGTTTATTTATATATAAAGCACAAAGGAAAATACAAAATTACAAATAGAAAAGAATACCAACAAAAAAATGGAAACATCGAATTAAAAAAATAGAAATGTTACAAAGATTACAAAAAATATATATTTTTTATTTCTTTTTTATATTTTTTATACATATACAATAAAAAATATAAAAAGTTAACAATTACAGAACAATAAACAAAAGCACACAAATAAAATAGAAATATTGAGTTTAAAAAATTGAAATATAGATGTAAAAATTCAAAACTCAACTTCCGTGTAATATATTTTAAAACAATTGTTGATACATAGTGCTACCTTACAATCCGAACACCAGTATGTAGATTCTTTCCTAACACCTTTTTTATAGCAAACTCGTCATTTCCTGGATTTAGTTTTTCCTATATCGCTTTTAATTTGTTTTGGAAAATGCCTTTCAACTAAGCGTGATGGTTTAGATGTAGAGCTGCTTGTTGATGTCTTTGGGTGGGTTTTCACTATGTTGTTATCTACCTATTTTTCTACACACTCTATCAAAAAGTGTAATCGATCCAAATGACCTTTATCTTTTTTGTATATAAAATATACATTGAAGCAGCACATATCAATTAATCGTAGAAAAAATTTTTTATAAATTTTTTTTTACCCTATTACGGGTAGCCGTGTAGGCCACCATAATTCCATCTCCCAAATCTACGCCGTCCATATTCTTGTTATAATCCAGGACAACATTCGGTTTTTCTTGCCTTCTTCCTCTCTTTTCAATCATTGTCTTTTCGTCATTATGAATAGAACTGAGCATCAATATGTCTTTTTTATCCTTCCATTTTAAAACCATAGGTTTGTCTTTGATTCTTACTATATGTTCATTTTTCTGTAATTTTTTTTGTTTTTATTTCACTGGGGATTCATTCCGACTCTGTTTATCCTCATTGTTCCAACAATGTCTGTATTGTTTTGACACAAGAGTTCAGCCAAATGGACATATAGAAATTATCTAAGTAAATCCTATACCCTTTATTCATTAAGTCATGTGTTAACTCCAAAACAATTCTTATTGATTGTTTTTCTTGTGGGTAGTTCGAACCATAATTTGTGTCCTTGCCTGTGTATAAAATTATATTTTGTACGTATTCAGATTGGCTTTCACTCAAAATAAACAACTTCATTCCAAATCTAGCTCTTTTTGTAGATATATATATATTGTTTCCAAAATAAATTCCCTTTCCATAATAAAAGAGATTCATCTACGCATATTTCTCGTTCACATACATAAAAACTTTTAAACTTTTCTGACAAATTATTGATGATTGGATCAATTCTATATGTTTTTCTATTATATAAAGGTTGGAGATATAAAAAATATAAGTAAATAATATATAATACGAAAATAGGTAGGTAAGTGTATGTATATACCCGTCACTGCTCACTCAGAACACGTCCACCACTCTCAATAGTGAATTATACTGATTCCCTCCGTGACTTAAATTCATGTCGACACATGTATGGGTGACTAATACCTTTGTTGTTCGGTAATATAAATCCCGCCCGTTTCAGGGCGCAACATATTTCAAGGACGTATTCATATGTCCTACCCGTACCTGATATTGTTTACGTTTGACATATTTATATGTCCAGCTCCGTTAACAGGTTAAGGATTAATATATGTGATCAATAAAGGAAAGAGGAGATATTCCTCCTCATTGGAGGCCTTAGCAATATAAATTAAATCAACCATGGAATGCCATTTTTTACTTAACAACCAGATTGTCAAGGATTTTAAAATTCATGGCCTCCAGCTTGGTCAGGGCTGTGAATTAAATGGCCAGCCTCTTGTTTTGCTGGTGAAAGTATACAGCTTTCCTGATGAGCAAATTGGCAATATGTATGAAGAGCCTAAACAATACACCCTTTATTCCAATAATTCATCCCCTAGAAAGTTTTAGTAAGGAAATGAACAAATACGAACAGATTTTTATATGCAAAGATACTCATTTCAGCAGTATTTATAATAGCAGAAGTTAGAAACAATATAAATGTCTAATAATAAGTAGATGGTTAAATTATCATGGTATCAAATGTTATACAGCCATTTGTAAATACCAAGTTTTTAAAGAATATTGAGTGTTGGCAAAATACTCAGATACAAAGTTTGTTGAAAAAGAGGATACCAAAACAAAACATAAAATCCCCAATTTTTATTTTTTTTATTTATTTAAAAAATATATATATATTTTATTGATTTTGTACAGAGAGGAAGGGAGAGAAATAGAGAGTTAGAAACATCGATGAGAGAGTCATCAATCAGCTGCCTCTTGCACACCCCCTACCGGGGATATGCCCGCAACCAAGGTATATGCCCTTGACCAGAACCGAACCCAGGACCTTTCAGTCCCCAAGCCGATGCTCTATCCATTGAGCCAAACCGGTTTTGGCAAAATCCCCAATTTTTAAATATTAAATGAATACATGTCAGTAGAGAAAAAAGATAGGAGAAACATTTTGGATAATAGTGGTTATGGATTATAGATTATTTAATTCATTTTAATTTTAATTTTTTTTGTATTTTCAAAGTTTCCAGTAAAGCATTTGTCAACTTTTTTCTGAATATAAAGTATCTAAAAATAAGTATTTTGTCTTTATAGAACTTTAAGCTTATTTGGTTTAATTTCCAACTTAATAAAATATTTTATATTAGTAGTAGGAATATAAATGGTTAAAATATTTAAATAATATCTAAAATTCTGATTATGATGTTACAGAAGTTTTAATTGAGTATCCTTGTTAATTTGAACTAATGGAGTCATTTTATTTCATCACACTAACTATTGCCTTCCAATCATTTGGAGTCTTAAAGAGAAGTGGGAGATGGATGCTCTAATTAAATTAGGTTTAGTTTGCTATGTCAGAATAAATTGAAATAACAAATAAATGTTTGCAGTGAACATCCATATTTTTTTGTTTTCTTTGTTTTAAGTTCAATTTAAAAGCTTTGAGAAACATGTTTTTGTAAAGACATATTCTACCTCACTATTAATCTGGGAAATGCTAATTTAAACCAAAAGCACATTTTACTCCTAAAGTAGCATCAACTAAAACTTACTAATATTGCTGAAACCGGTTTGGCTCAGTGGATAGAGCATCCGTCTGTGGACTGAAAGATCCCAGGTTCGATTCTGGTCAAGGGCATATACATTGGTTGCTGGCACATCCCCGGTGGGGGATGTACAGGAGACAGCTGGTCGATGTTTCTCTCTCATCGATGTTTCTAGCTTTTTTTCCTCTCCCTTCCTCTCTGTAAAAAATTCAATAAAACATTAAAACAAAACAAAACAAAAAACTTACTAATATCTAGGATTTCTGAGCATATGGAGACTTGGCACCCACATACACTATTGGTTGGAATGTATGCTTGTCAGCATTTTAAGACTGTCGGGCATTACTACCTGTGTCCCTGAAAATAAGACAGTGTCTTATATTAATTTTTGCTCCCAGAGATGCGCTAGGTCTTATTTTCAGGGGATGTCTTATTTTTTCATGAAGAAGAATACGGTACACATTTATTGTTAAATGAAAATAAAGGAAATTTATTACCCGTATATGGTACGGTAGTACGGTAGTTGTCAACACAAACCAGACAAACTGAATCCTACAGTATCAAGAATTTACTCATTTATTCAATGACAATCATGTCATCATCTTCTGGAACATCATCATAACAACCCAATTCCTGAATTTCCTGGTGAATTTCTTGTGACTCCATTTCTTTCAGAATCAGTGGACCAAATCTCTCATGTTTAGCAATAGCACTGTCTTTAAATGAGTACTTCTTGTCAAGGTAGCCTGCTCGTGGTGCATTTGCAATGCAACTGTCAGTGATTTTCTCCCATGAATTCTTCACCCAAGTCACAACTTCTTGCAGTTTAGGTTTCACAAAGTTTCCACGCTGATTTCTCTCCATTCTATTTTCAATGTAGTCATTAATTTTCATTCTGAGACAAAGCCTAGAGGGGGCCTTATTTTCGGGGGGATGCCTTATATTTCACTCAGAAGGAAACCTGTAAGTAGGTCTTATTTTCGGAGGATGTTTTATTTTCGGGGAAACACGGTATCAATGGATAAACATATGATTCATATCAACTCAGTCTACTTATAGGAATCCTTACAGAAAGAAATTCATGGGTGCACAAAGTCATATATACAATGATATTTCAACATTCTTTGTAGTAACAATTTAGAAATTACATTAATGTCCATCAATAGGAAGTGTATACATAAACTGTGATATACCCTTAGTATTACACAACTATTACAAAGAATGAAGTAAGTTTCTATTACTGATAGAACACATTCTCCAGGATGTGTTAAGTGAAAAAACCAATTTACAAAATAATACATATAATATGTCACCATTTGTGTTGAAAAAAAAAAGTGTATGTTTAGGCCTATAAATGGATTGAAAAAAATAAGCTATAATACACAGCAAATTGTTAATAGTGATCTCTTGGAAGGGAAGTAGAATTGCAGGGATGGGGGGGATGTGATTTGGAGGGTTATCATGCTTTACTTTTTAAGCCTTTATGTCTTTACTGTTATTTTAATAATCTTTATGATGAACATAAGTATTTGTGTCTGTGTCTGTGTGTCTGCTCCAGGATGCTGTACTCTTCCATAATACCATTTACTACAACCTGTTATATGGAAACATCAGTGCTTCACCTGAGGATGTGTATGCAGTGGCAAAATTAGCTGGACTGCATGATGCAATTCTTCGAATGCCACATGGATATGACACCCAAGTAGGGGAACGAGGACTCAAGCTTTCAGGTAATCAGAGTTTAAATCACCCCTTCACCCTCTGCCCACACACAGAGACCACCACCATACTTGGATACTCCCTTCAAACTTTAATTTGTCATAGCTGTTTTCTAGAAAATACAATAGAAGTATTCAAACCTAGTGCTTATCCAAGTGCTTTAGACAAGGTCCCCAAGCCTCCTATCCATCACTGTAAACAATCTAATAGACCAGAAGTAAGTGTTCTCAAATCATACAAATCTTTTTTTTTTCCTTTTGCAGCTGTAAACACATTAAGTGCTTAATAGTAAGTTATGGATATATGCTCAAATCAGTGATAACTTGTTACCCATATTCTTAATATTAAAGGAAAGCCAGGATCATTATTCTCCTTAGAAAGTAGTAAGAGTAGAAAGAAGTAATTTCATAGTTATTAGTGTATCTTATCATAATTTCCTCTATTATTATGTAATGTTTTGAATACTTTAGACTTCCTTGTATAGGATATACTTAACTGTTATACTTTTTTTATAAATTACTTTTCAATTGCAGTTGACATGCAATATGTATTTGTTTCATATGTATAACATAGTGGTTAGACTTTCATATACATTATGAAATAATCACCCTGATAAGTCTAGTACCCAGATGACACCATATGTTCCTTACAGCAATCTTCATTTACATGTCCTTGTTGACTCAATGGTCAAGTAAATTTGGGGCTTCTACATTTCTATTTAAGTGTTTAATTATGAGATTGATAAGGTTTAATAATAATTATCCTAAAATGACTAAATCTTTGGAGGGTCCATAAATATGTTTCTTTGCCCCAAATTATTTGAATTCCAGAATACAGTAATGTCTAATGCCTGCAAGTATTAATGTAACTCATATACTGAATCGTTTACATTTATTCTTCATTCTAATTTAGTTTAAGGAGGGAATTTATAGATTAGGGATAGGAGTAAGGCAAAAGGATAATAAAGAATAGTATGCATGAATTTTAATATATTCCCATTTCTCTTTATTACAAACTGGCTTCATTTGTTCATGACATTGATTAGGAAGCAAGGGAAGGAGGAGGTGGGGATAAAGGGGGAACCACGTTGTGGCAGCCCGCGGGTGATGAGGGAAAGAAGAGCGAGGCAGGTAGGCAGGGAACCTGATCACCCGCCAGGCCTAGGGACCCTACCCATGCACGAATTTGTGCACTGGGCTTCTAGTATATACATAATCCTACCTAATAAAAGAGTAATATGCAAATTAACCATTACTTCGCTCCACAAGCCATGCCCACCAGTCAATCAGAGCGAATATGCAAATAAACCTAACCAAGATGGCTACAGACACAGAGAACAGGAGGGAGGTGTTTCCCCGGCAATAGAGGAAGCCCAAGCTTTCCGCCTGCCCTTGCCAGCCTAAGCCTCCACTCAAGGCTATAAAGTTTCAATTATAGAAGGTAAACAAATCCAAACAGAAACAGCTGCTGCCACAGGGTGAGCAGGAGGCTTGGCTTCGCTCAGCTCCAGGTTACAAAGTTTCAATTATACAAAGTAAATATATCCCAGATACCAGGGCCTCTGCTTGGGTAGCTGGGGGGCGTGGCCGGCCTGCAAACCACCAAAGGACCCTTGCTCAGTCTGCCCCATGCCCCAAGGGAACCCCCACTCTGATCCAGGACACCCTTCAGGGCAAACCAGCTGGCTCCCACCTGTGCCCTAGGCCTCTATCCTATCTAATAAAAGAATAATATGCAAATTGACCATCACTCCAACACACAAAATGGCTTCGCCCATGTGGTCAAAGATCTTGCCCCTATGTGGACACAAGATGGCTAGCAGGGGAGGGCAGCTGGGAGGGACCAGGCCTGCAAAGGAGGGCAGTTGAAGGTGATCAACCCTGCAGGGGAGGGCAGTTAGGGGTGATCAGCCCAGCAGAGGAGAAAAGTTGAGGGCAAACAGGCTGGCAGGGGAGCAGTTAGACATAAATCAGGCTGGCATGGGAGTGGTTAGGGGTGATCAGGCTGGCAGGCAGAAGCGATTAGGGGCAATCAGGAAGTTGGAATCCAGCCTTCTGGATTGTGAGAGGGATGTCCAACTGCCAGTTTAGGCCCAGTGGGATCGGGCCTAAATGGGCAGTCGGACATCCCTCGAGTGGGTACAGGCTGGGCTGAGGGACAAGCCCCCCCTTTCCCCCATGCACCAATTTCATGCACTGTGCCTCTAGTATATAGATACAGGTGCATATATCTAGAAACATATAAAAATAAAAGGGTACTCTGCAAATTAACCAAACAGTGGAATGACTTGTGGCTATGATGTGCACTGACCACCAGGGAGTAGACGCTCAATGTAGGAGTTGCCCCCAGGTGGTCAGTGCACACCCATAGGAGGTGTGCTGCTCAGCCACAAGCTGGGCTGACAGTTGGTGAGTGCATTGGCGGTGGCAGAGCCTCTCTGCAACAGTGCTAAGGATGTCCAACTGCCATCTTAGGCCCGCTCCTCGAGGGCTCCTGGACTGTAAAAGGGTGCAGGCCGGGCAGAGGGTCCCTCTCATCCCCGTCCCCCCAAGTACACAAATGTTGTGCACTAGCCTTCTAGTATATACATGATATAGAGATACAGATGCATATATCTATAAACGTATATACCAGGTGTACTGGTTAATAATGAGGATTTTTTTTCAATAGATACATATGCAATTTGATATGTATGCTATTTTGTTGTATTGACAACAAGCTTCAAAGCTTGATATGTCAAATTTGCTGGAGGTGTTAACATCATAGATATTTTTACACTTAAAAATGTCAAATTTTGTGCCCAAAAAAAGAGCATTTACAGGAAGTTATAATTTATTATTTTGAAGAAAAGTGCTGCTGAATACTTTGGGAAGCTTATGGTGAACATGCTCCATCTCAAGTTACTTGTGAACACTGGTTTAAATGCTTTAAAAGTTATTATTTCAATGTGAAAGATAATGTCCAGGTCAACAAAAAAAGTTTAAAGACCAACAATTAAAAGCATTATTAGATGAAGATGCATGTCAAACTCAGAAACAACTTGCAGAAAGATTAAATGTTGTTCAGCAAATAATTTCTGATAATTTACAAGCAATGGGAAAGATTTTAAGGAAGGAAAATGGGTGCCACATCAACTGAAGGAAAAACAAGTGGAAAACCAAAAAATCATTAATAAAATGTTGCTTCAGTGGCATAAAAGAAAGTCTTTTTTGCATCGAATTGTGACTGGTGATGAAAAGTGGATTTATTTTGAGAATCTCAAATGCACAAAAGCATGGGTTGATCCAGGTCAACCATCAACATCAACTGCAAAGCCAAATCGCCTCAGAAAGAAGACAATGCTCTGTGTTTAGTAGGATCAGGAAGTTGTGTATTATGAATTTCTAAAACCAATTGAAACCATTAATAGTGATCACTACGGACAACAAATAATCAATTTGAACCATGCTTTGATTGTGAAACAACCAGAATGTTCCAGAAGACACGACAAAGTAATTTTGTTTCATGATGACACACCATCACAAACTTCAAAACCAGTTAAAGACACGTTAAAAGATCTTGCCTGGGAAGTTACTTAACCCATTCGCTGTATTCACCAGACCTTGCTCCTGCAGATTACCACTTGTTCTAATTGATGGCACATGCACTTTCTGAACAGCACTTCAAAACATACGAAAAAATTGGATCTCTGATTGGTTTGCCTCAAAACAAGAAAAGTTCTTTTGGGACGGTATCCACAAATTACCTGAAAGATGGGGAAATGTGTAGCTAGCGATAGACATTATTTTGAATAAAGCACTTTTGATGTTTCTCTTGAAATTATCATATTTTTTAATTAAAAATCCTCATCATTAAGCTGTATACCTGTACTACCTGCAATCTACTATGCTAAATGATTTGAGAGTTAAAAAGTTGAAGCATAAGCCAATCTTCTCAAGGAATTTATAGTCTGTTAGAAAGTTTTGATCTAGGTTTAGAAAATGTTAAAAGATTTTTTTCACATTTAGTTGGTTTGTAATAGTTATTTGCTCATTAATTAGTAGTATAAGGTGCCTGTATCATTCCAGTTCACTTTTATACTTTACCATTGCTTTTAATAGGAGTAATTTCCAATTAACTAGCTCACCCTCAGATTATTTGTCCATTTGGCTGACTGGAAATTCCCAATTTGTCATATAATATGGGCTACCTTCCTCAACTTATGACTTTGACTCAGATTACTATGCTACATTGCATTTTCCAATCATTTGTTTCCCATCTCAGCATATCTTTGAGAATAGGAATGGCTAAAGAAATGTTATTTTTACCTGATAACCATAGCCTTACAATCAGACATCTCAGAATGATCAGTGTATTAATCGGCATCTGTGCTCAATTTTGGTAGAGATAAACAAATGCTCTTCTTCAAGTTCTAAAATTATATTCAATAAAATTGGAACTGGGTTGGTTTTGATTTGAAATTTGGGAGGCACATCAAAAACTTTGGTTGGTGAATACACAATACAATATACAGTTGATGTACGTATATTGTATTGTGCGTATATTGTACACTTGAAACCTATATAATTTTATTAACCACTGTCACCCCAATGAATTTAATTAAAAATCTCAAATTTTAAAAATGACAAAACGAATCCTTTCTCTGAGTGTCTGCTTCTTTTAGGAACTTTCTGTTGCTGACTTATTAGGTGGATTAGCAAATAGTTCTGTCATGGTGTCTGCTTTGTTAGGAACATTTTGATCTTATGAAATGGGGAAGAATGCAGATAGTATGAATATATACTTAGGAATTAATTTTAGATACAAGGAGTCCTTTTATAGGTTGAAGAAAATAAATTGCAGAACAAATATACTTGGTGTACCAGAAAATAAAAAGGTGGAATTTGTTTCCTGAAGAGCTTTCTGAAACTGAAAAATATTTTTTCATATATTAATAAATTACTAGATAACAGACAAGAAAAGAAGCCAAAAGGGGCATATTAAGTAAAGCACCACCTTTTTTGGTTTGGCT